TTGACAAGGAAAGAAGATAACAATCTGATAAAGTTACGTAATTGCACACAAGCAACCAAAAGATGTGCAACCAAAATTGCCTCAGACAAGAATCGAACCTGGGTTCTCCAGGTCCCAGCCTTCAATGTTAACCATTCGGCCAACATACGATCTCTGGGCTAAACAGGTTTGCACGCAGTGTGATACCTGAGCGTCTAAGTCGCTGGCAGAGCTAAAGCGGACTTAACCTGCCACCTTGTGGCGATAAGATGTAATATTTTTCACGCAGCTGCGTGATTCCCGAAAAGCGTGAATGAAGACGACAAAACAAAATGGGACCTACTGTAGGATAAACTGCTTCTCAAAATATAGGCAAACTAGTAGATAAAGCATGTGGCCTCTATTGGTACCTGTCCGGCCAAACGTTGCAAATTTGCAACGTTGAAATATAGCTGCACCTGGGGAAAAACCCAGAGGAGATAAAATCTACTAATTAGCACGTACTGTATCTATATATGTTCATAATTCATCTCATATAGCTTTGGTTTCAAATGAATTGAGTTTAGTAGTAATACTTACATGAAGTTGATACCTAGAAAATCTGTTTGAGTGACACCAAGGAGGAAGTCATGTTGGAAATGAGACAGCTCCGCCATGTGGTGAGCTAGTGGGATTTTTTTTGCGCTAATACACAACCAAGTCCTGCAGTGGTACTTCTGAGTTAAAAAAAGCAAAAAAAAATATTGATGTGGAGTAATTAGGTAATGAGCATTTAGGTGTTGCAAATCTGCAACGCCTGCCTTGAGAGGGTTAAATCTTCCACCTGAACAGCTTAAAACATGTCCTCCGTTTAGCTTTGTTGGCCTTGATGTTTTCGGGCCTTGGACAATAACAACCAGGCGCACAAGGGGTGGACAAGCTCAAAGTAAGCGCTGGGCCATCATGTGTTCAAGAGCGGTGCATATTGAGGTGATCGAGTCTCTGGACACGTCTATCTGCATCAACGCCCTGAGATGCGTCTTTACACTACGAGGCCCTGCTCAAAAACTCTTATCCGATCGCGGAACTAACTTTGTAGGGGCTTCTAAGGAGTTAGGAATGGACAAGCCAATACAGCACTACTTAAAGGACCAAGGGTGCAGCTGGGAATTCAACCCGCCTCACGCCTCCCACATGGGAGGTTCTTGGGAAAGCATGATTGGGATTGCTCGGAGAATACTGGACTCAATGCTGCTTCAAAGTAAGATACAACTCATTCATGACGTGTTGTGCACTTTCATGGCCGAAATAACCGCCATCATAAATGCCAGACCACTCCTACCAGTTTCTTCCGATCCAGACAACCCCTTCATCCTCTCTCTTCAATGCCTCTCACTCAGAAATCTTGCCTCTTACCCCCTCGCGGAGATTTCACCGTCAAAGACCTCTACACTAAGCAGTGGAGACAAGATCAGGCTCTTGCCAACCAGTTTTGGACTCGCTGGAGACAAGAGTATCTACCTTCTCTACAACAGAGACAAAAATGGACTGAACCTACAGGAACTTGCAAGTCCATGACAATGTTTTGTTCAAGGACAGGCAGGCCCCACGCAACAGTTGGCCCATGTGGCCTGGGTCACAGCAACTTTCCCTGGAAAAGACAGTCGCGTGAGGAAGATCGAGATCAAGTTAAACGATCAAGGCAGTGTATAGACTTTCTTGCGGCCAGACAAGGAGTGTGTTGCCCTTAAGGCAATTGTTTTTCTTTAATAAATTTCATGTTAATGAATATGTTTAAAAAGCAAAAAAACGGTTACATTACTTGGAATTGCAGGGGACTGCATTGCAGGGGGATTCACCCTCCCCCCTCGTTAATCCTGTTATCGTTTGCAACCAATCCACAATTTGTGAGGAGTAGCTTAAACGCACTTCGCAAAACAAACAAAAACAATAATTGTTTTTATTGCTGTTCGGGCTGGTGTTACCAGTCCAATACCTGCAGTCCAACACCCTAGTACGGGTGCCTTTTAGTTGAGGAGCACTGTTGCCTATACTGTTTGACATTGCTCCTCAACGCTTAGTCATTCACCAGACCAGTTTGATAAATGACCGGATCTCTCCAAAAATCTCGGGCACTTGACAGTCGCGTGGGGGCTACCACGTTCAGACGCAGCACCCTGCACAGAGGCTCTACTGAGTTTTACCATGGATCTATTATAATATATAGTTTTACAAACGCGGTGTGAAGAGAAGAGACGCATGGAGGAATAACATCTGTGGGAGCTTAAAACTACTCAAGCAGGAGATATACACAGGACATGGCTAAAAGCTAATGTTAGCATTAACGTTAGCCACAGTGCCCTATCTGCATCACGGTAAGAAAACGTATTGGAGGCTTTATCCCTGAATAAGTTTAGTTGAAACTTGTGACATAGTAGTTGGAGTGCGCTCGGATCGATAATATCCATCCATCCATCTATCCATTTTCTTCCGCTTCATCCGTTGCCGGGTCGCGGGGGCAGTCTAAGCAGAGACGCCCAGACTTCCCTATCCCCACACACCGCCAGCTAGTCCCTCCAGCGTGTCCTGGGTCTTCCCCGGGGCCCGGAACACCTCCCCAGGGAGGCGTCCAGGAGGCATCCGGAACAGATGCCCGAGCCACCTCAACTGGTTCCTCTCGACGTGGAGTAGCAGCGGCTCTACTCCGAGCTCCTCCCGTGTGACTGAGCTCCTCACCCTATCTCTAAGGGAGCGCCCAGCCACTCTGCGGAGGAAGCTCATTTCGACTGCTTGTATCCGCGATCTCGTTCTTTCGGTCATTACCTAAAGCTCATGACCATAGGTGAGGGAGGGAACGAAGATTGACCGGTAAATTGAGAGCTTTGCCTTTCGGCTCAACTCCCTCTTCACCACGACGGTCCAATACAGCGAACGCATCACTGCGCACGCTGCACCGATCCGCCTGTCAATCTCGCGCTCTATCCTTCCCTCACTCGTGAACAAGACCCCGAGATACTTGAACTCCTCCACTTGAGGAAGGACCTCTCCACCCACCCGGAGAGGGCAAGGCACCCTTTTCCGGTCGAGCACCATGACCTCAGATTTGGAGGTGCTGATTCTCATCCCAGCGGCTTCACACTCTGCTGCAAACCGTCCCAGTGCATGTTGCAGGTCCTGGTTCGTTGGAGCCAACAGGGCAACATCGTCCGCAAACAGCAGAGATGAAATCCTGTGGTCGCCAAACCGGACCCCCTCCGGCCCCTGGCTGCGCTTAGAAATTCATGAATACAGTGAACTGAACCGGTGACAAAGGGCAGCCCTGGCGGAGGCCAACATGCACCGGGAACAGGTCCGACTTACTGCCGGCAATGCGAACACAGCTCTGACTCCGGTCATACAGGGATCGAACGGCCCTCAATAGAGGACCCCGGACCCCATACTCCCGGAGGACCCCACAAAGGACACCCCGGGGAACACGGTCGAACGCCTTCTCCAAATCCACAAAGCACATGTGGACAAGTTGGGCGAACTCCCATGAACCCTCGAGTATAGAGCTTGTCCAGTGTTCCACGGCCGGGACGAAAACCACACTGCTCCTCCTGAATCAAGAGATTCGACCAACGGCCGTAGCCTCCTCTACAGTACCTTGGAGTAGACCTTACCGGGGAGGCTGAGGAGTGTGATCCCATGATAATTGGAACACACCCTCCGGTCCCCCTTCTTGTAGAGAGGGACCACCACCCCGGTCCCTGCCATTGGCACCGCCCCCGATCGCCACGCGATGTTGCAGAGACGTGTCAGCCAAGATAGTCCCACAACATCCAGAGACTTTAAATAGTCAGGAAGAATCTCATCCACTCCCGGCGCCTTGCCACCATGGAGGCTGCCAACCACCTTGGTGACCTCTGCCAGGGGGATGGAAGTATCCACCCCAACATCCTCAGCCTCTGCCCCCGGGGCGGAGGACGGGACTGGGGGATTGAGGAGAACCTCAAAGTATTCCTTCCACCGTCCAACAATATCCCCAGTCGAGGTCAGCAGCTCTCCACCCGCACCATACACGGTGTTGGCAAAAAACTACTTCCCCCTCCTGAGGCGCCGGACGGTTTGCCAGAATCTCTTCAAGGCCGACCGATAGTCATGCTCCATGGACTCTCCGAACTTCTCCCAGTCCCGGGTTTTTGCCTCTGCAACAGCCCGGGCCACGGCACGCTTGGCCAGCCGATACTGGACAGCTGCCTCAGGAGTACCCCGAACCATCATAGCTCGATAGGACTCCTTCTTCAGCCTGACGGCATCCCTTATTGCCGGTGTCCACCACCGGGTTCGGGGGTTACCACCGGGACCAGCACCAGAGACCTTACGACCACAGCTACGAGCCGCCGCATCGGCGCTAGAGGAAGAGAACATGGTCCACTCAGACTCGATATCCCCCTCCTCCGCCGGGACCTGGGAGAAGCTCTCCCGGAGGTGTGAGTTGAAAGTCCGTCTGACAGGGGGCTCAGCGAGACGTTCCCAGCAGACCCTCACTCACGCTTGGGTCTGCCAGGTCTGACCGGCTTCCTCCCCTGCCAGCGGATCCAACTCACGACCAGGTGGTGATCGGTTGACAGCTCCGCCCCTCTCTTCACCCGAGTGTCCGAGACACGCGGCCGAAGGTCAGATGATACGACAACAAAGTTAATCATCGACCTCCGGCGTGGTACCGGTGCCAAAGAAACCACGGGCCAAAGACTTCAGCGACTTCAGGCCAGTGGCTCTAACATCCCACTGCATGAAGGTCCTGGGACATCTCCGCTCCACTCTGAGCACAGCGATGGACCCGCTGCAGTTCTCCTACAGGCTGGGCCTCGGAGTTGAGGACGCCATCATCTCCCTCCTCCATCGCTCCCTGTCCCACCTGGAGAAACCCGGCTCCACTGTGAGGATCCTCTTCTTTGATTTCTCCAGTGCCTTCAACACCATCCAGCCGCGGCTTGTCTGGGACAAGCTGGAGACAGCCGGTGTGGACTACGACGTGTCCCAGTGGATCCTGGACTACCTCACAGACAGACCCCAGTTTGGGAGAACAGGGGACTTTGTGTCTGAGGTCCTGACCTGCAGTGTGGGGGGGCCCCCAGGGAACTGTCCTCGCGCCGTTCCTCTTCACCCTCTACACTGCGGACTTCAGACACAACACGGACGGCTGTGTCCTCCAGAAGATCTCCGACGACTCTGCCATCATCGGACTCAGCTCCGAGGACGATGACGCAGAGTACAGAGGAGTTATACAGAACTTTGTGGACTGGTGTCAGCGGAACCACCTCCTCATCAACGCGGGGAAGACCAAGGAGATGGTGGTGGATTTCCGCAGACGTCACTCTGCTACTCCAGCTCCAGTGAACATCCACCACAGAGTCATAGAAAGTCATAGAAAGTACTGTGTGGTCTGCTGGAACAGCAGCATCACAGAGAGGGACAGGAAGAAGCTGGACAAGGTCATCAGGAAGTCCAGCTCAGTCCTGGGCTGTTCCTTGGACACAGTGCAGCAGGTGGGGGACAGGAGGGTCCTAAGCAAACTAACATCTATGCTGGACCATGACTGTCACCCCCTGCATTTAACTGTACAGTATATAACTGCACTACTACTACATATATATTTTTTGACTGGTATTGAAGCATTTTCAGCATCTACAGCTAGTTATGTTAGCTAAGAACCATAGCTACTACTTATTTGTATATATTGTGTTTGCTCCCTGTGTGCTCTTACTACTGTCCTATATGTGCGCTGCAACATCGAAATTTCTCCATTGCGGGACGAATAAAGGAATTCTTATCTTATCTATTTTATCTTGAACGCAAATGTACACGGACTGTGTTCATTATTTGACTTGAATAATCTAATTGTAATAATTTTTGTATTACAAAATAGGGTGCATCGATTACATGTTTGTAGTAGAGGCTTTTTCTTCCACATAAAATAACGAGAACAGCCTATTTTTAACGTTGTCTTCTTGGTTATTATTTCGGGGGGCCTCGCAGACCCGTTAGATTTTCAAGGGGGCCGCAGTGATACTGACTTTGGGAATGGCTGCTGTAGAGGATCAGGATGTATGCAGTTTCAACAATAAAATAAAGTGCAATAGTCTACAATACAAGAGAGTAATAAACATGTCTCAGAGTGAGGGAAATGGACGCACACCGAAACTCTTGTTTGTTACAGGGATGAGAATTGGTCAAAAAAGTCTGAAATGCATAATCTCAGCCATTCGCTGTCACTAAATCTGTTTGATTTGTTCACAACATTTTACTTTTGGGCACAACCGACATTAACTTTTAATGCAATGGAAAACTTAGGTACCTGAGCTTTAATTTAGGGAGTTTAGTTGCGCTTCGAGAGGAGAGGGGAGACGCGTTTCTTTGCAAGACACGAGGAAAGAATAATGCGTCGTGAAATAATAAAACAGAACATCAATAAATAAAGGAAATAGATGAAGGCATGAAGAAAATAAAAACATGCATGAAGAAAATATAGAGGAATAGTTATTTCTTTGGGGGGGAAACTGCAGATAATAATAATATATATATTTTCTTTAATCTGAACCTTTGAATGAATAAAGAAAGAAATAAATAAATGCAGACAGAAAATAAAGCTTTATTATTTAGTTTGTTGTTTTGAACAAAAAAACGTATAATAATAATATACATTTATTAAATCTTATAATTTGTAGCGTTATATTGATAATGTAAGGTTAAAACGGAGGACAGGACCGGCCGGGCCTGTTTTCTCTGTGAACCAGTGACCAAATGGAGATAATGCTTCACCGCAACTTCAAAGGAACCATGGGGTTCAGCCACAAGAGCATGAGGATTACGGACTCCAGACGGACCCATAAAAAACAGCGGGATACCCATCTGGTGCCTTCTTCATGTTAACAGAGGAGCTGATACAAATCAGCATTGTCACAATGCATTCCACGGACCAAGGGGTCCACCCGCGGCCCTCTGACGCTCCCTAGCGGACACTGGACGCTACCGCACCCAAGACGAACATTCAAAGGGGACATTACTCAATGATATTAACGTTACGGACCTTACTCGTGTGTTTAATGTCTGTGATGTAAATACACGGTGTGTGTGTGTACATGTGTTGTGATCATTCGCATCAATCCTGTGTGTCTCCTTTGCAAAATTGTCCGGTGTGAAGGGTTGCGTCCACAGAGAGGGAAGACATGGACACGCCCCTTCAGAAGTCAATATAAGCACCCGCAAACCTAGAGACTTCCTCTGGTTTCTCCCGAATTCATTATAACAACTATCCCGTTTGGTACGTGTCCCCTACACGGCCTACGCCCGCCACCATCTCGGGCCTGTACACCCACGAGGACAGCAACCACTCTCGCTGTCGGAGACGAGGACCTTCTATCGCCACTTTCGGGCTCCTTGGACCACCCCACCACAACGCTATTCTAGACCGTGTCGTGTGTGGAACCCACGCCTGGACCTGACCTGCCAGCTTCCTCCTGCTCCCTGTTCGAACAAAGACCACGTGGACGAGACATCGCCTCCATCCTATTCTTCACTCTCATCCTTTCTTCATTCCTCCATCCTCATCTTAACCACCCATCTCCCTCTGAACGGCTTCAAAGTAAGACTGCTCCATGTTAAATGTTCAATTTGAATGAAATGTATACAGCTCCTACCCAAATGTGACCAGAAATCCCTTTTCGTTATGTTTTATCCCACTTTGTAATCAATAAACTACTTTTCTTTAACTCAACCCCTTCAGAGTCGCGTTGTTAGATCTCGGAATATCACTGGCCGATAAAAGTACTCACTACCTATTAGATTCATAAGACTGATCGAGGCAAAGATTTGGTGTGTCTGTGCGCAGATTTCTAACTCTGCTGGTGCCCAAAATAAATAACACAGACCTGTTGGTGGAACGGCGAGCTTCCGCTCCGGAGACTAGCCGCTCCACGCTACCAAATTCATACTAAATTTATAACATAATCTGTAGTATTATTACCCTACATATAACTAGTTACCCTACAATAATACGCAGATTGTGACATTTATTTATTATAAATAAATAAAATAGAAGGTCATAGAATTCAGGCTTTTTTCCCTGGGCCAAGAGCATAATGAAGCAGGACAATCCGTGCCCGTGAGTGTTGTCTTTGTTGGACTATAAATCTGTGTGTGGTTCTGATTGTTTCTAAGTGGAGGATTTAAAATGCACTATTTTTATATTTTATTCGTCTGTTGGACAAAAAGCATGTAGTAGTGAATTTTTTTTTTTTGATGAGAGGCACCCCAGCTTTAAGTTATATTCCCAAATATCTTAAGCTCCTATTTTACCAATACTTACTTAATATTCTCAGAAGAGCTGCAAACAATTTAAAAGTGTGGGAGGGGCACCAGCTGTATCTGCAAACCATGGCATCCTCACACAGTTACATTTGAAATATATAATAATAATAATAATATAATGGTGATAAGATGATTAGGTTCAACCAGTTTAAATGTTCTTTTGTGTTGTTACAAGAGCAGTCTCTATGGTCTCTCTCTAGTTTCTCACTCGAGGCTCAACTTTTGTTTAGTTACAGGAGCAGTTTGGGATTTCTGCACGGTCACAGAGAGAAGAGAAAAATTATCTTTCCGCAGCTGCTCTGGAAACTCCACTGACAGCGCTTTTTAACGCTTCACTGAGATAAAAAGTGATAGTAAGCGCTCTGCTGCTGCTGATGCTGCTGCCCCTTCAGAAATGGGGAAGTTTCAGGGATTTGAAATTATGAGGATGAGTGCTCTGTCTATGGCGTTGATCTGGGCACATCTAGCTCAAGGTAAGTAAGAAAACTGATTTATAAAGCTCATTATGATGACCTACACTGGCCCAGAACCATGGGCTGCACCTCATGGGTCCCAGTCCTGAATCTACTGCCTCTGTCCTGGATCTACAGCCTGTACGGTCTAAAGGTGCTTTCACACCGCCGACGCTGGAACGCTGACGCCTCGTGCACCAGACGCACATTCTCTAATTTTCAGACGCAGGGGTCTTCACACCAGAAGTCCTGGGTTAAGCTAGCGGCTTTTTTAAATGTTCTTCTCCAATAATGCAGCTCTGTGTCCAGAAACCTTCCAGAGACTTTATATAACAGCAGTATGTGTTCACAGAGGTGCGTAATACATTTATTTTATTATTAAACGGTACTTCCGCATCGACGAACAGGCTCGAAGCAGTTGCATAAAGTCACGGGAGCATGAAAACGCATATGTTCACAGGCACTATGTCCCCCATTGTCAACCCTGGTTTTAGTCCTGGTGTAGCTATGTTTTGGCTGTTTACGAGTATGTTCAGTCTGCTCACTCAGACCGCTAATGTCCCCTTGACCACTTTGAGGCTCTCTGATTGGTCGCTGCACAAGCGTCCCGAGGAAACGGTCAGCAAAATGTATCTCCTGCGTGCGTCGATTTTCCGCTCCTGCGCCTCTGCCGCACGTCTCTACCACGTAATCCGTGCGTGCATCCCAAGACGCATGTGCATTTTGACGCGCGTCACCATTTACTTTGCATTGAAAATCGACACAACGCATGATCCGGTGTGAAAGCACATCAGGACAGTGATGATTTCTGCAAAATTATTTCATTTCAGAACAGTGGTCATCCCTCTCCCTATGGACCAATGTGTTTGTTATCATACGTTTGTCATCATACAGCACACGACAGTAAAATACCGGTTTGACAGGCAGATCAACACCAGGAGTCCCATCATCACGCCATGAAACAGACATGTGGATAGCGGAGGAATAGCAATGAACACACTACAGCTGAGTCATAATGATGACAAATAAAGTAGGAAGAGGAGAGGATAGGGCTCAAATTGCCAAAATTCTCCCATTCTCTTAATTTCAGACAAATCCGAATTATTTTTATTGCCATGTGAGTAACAAGGAAATTGCTTTGACTCTCTGTGCAAACAAGTTATAAAGTAAAAAATAGAATAGGCATCAGATTCAGATTCAGTTTATTTGCCATTTGCAGTAAAAAAACCACATTGGAATACATTAGCAAAAGTCTCCAGTGTGCACAGACAAATACAGACATAAAACAACATTAAAAGACAACAAAAAAAACAAATAAAACAGTAAACAAATGTCACTGTGAAATCGATCGACTAAAACAGTTTCAAAACAAGTGCAAATCATTAAAGTGCTCTGTTCACACTGATAACAGCTTGTGGATAAAAACTGTTAGCGTAACGAGATGTCCTGCATCTCAGAGAGCGATATCTTCTACCAGAGGGAAGAAGCTGGAACATGGCTTTCCCAGGGTGGCCAGAAGAGTCATTGACAATCCTAAGAGCTTTGTTTAAAAGTCTGGATTTATAAAGAACCTCCAGAACAGGAAGCTCACAGCCCACGGTCCTCTT